CTTTTTGTGCATTTTGATTGATGTTTCAGTGCTGTACATGCATTTTCTTTTCACCCACCGGTCTCTCAGTCGATAGCTGTTGTCAGCTGATCCTGTCAAAGCTATTGGTGTCCGTTGTAGGTACTGAGTGCCGCACGTTGGCCACCTGTGTGGTGAGACATTGTTGAAGGTAAATATTAAAAGGCTTTAATGCAGTCATGGCTTCACTTCACAAATTATTGGTTTGCTCTACATTACTGATGCCACCGATAACCTCAGGAAGAAATCCCTGCTGCACTAATTTCCTTTTAACCTGAGTGAAAATAAATCAATTCTACTGGCCTTAGTCGTGTCCCCTTTTCATGATAAGAGTATGATTTTCATATCATATACACTACAGAGCCTTGTTTGTAACACAATTGCAAGTCAGAACTAGCAGAGTCGTGTTGCCATTAGTAGCTCCACGTGGACATTCCATATTCTTTAAGTCAAACTAATTACTATCCTATAGTCATTGATAGCACTTGTTAAGTGTAATCATTTCGTGTCACTTACTGGATCTTTAGCGACGGAAAAACAGAAGGTCTCCTTCTCCGTTGTGGTGGACCGTCCGTGGCTCTGCCCAGTGGGATGGGTTTCTGTACAGAAAAGCAATATTTGCAAGTTAATTTAATATTTTCAACAAAGGTGCATCAGCCCAGTTCAAACTTCTGTCAAAGGACGATTTCTTATTTACCACGACAACTCTATGTTCATTATTTAGGACGAAAAACTAACTACAAACCATTTTAACTTCTGACAAATGCTAACGTTAGCTTCCGAGACACATATGCTAGCGTAAATTGCACTACCGGTCTCGACCGAACGAATACCATTTCAAACAAAAACAACGGACAATTGTTTTCAAAACCCACCATTTCAATCAATCACATATAGCCATCGCGCCCAGTTTTTTACTTGAACGCCCACTGAAGGCTCAAACGGCTAGCACTCGTGTTTCATGCGCCGGATCGCAACCGGAAATAAGGACGTACAACGTATTCCTATTTCCGTTATACGAACGTTCCAGTATCAGCGCGCCCCTACCGTTGACCGCTGACATTCACATTCTCTTTCTGAGTTTAGTCTCTTAGTTTACTTTTTCTTTGATAGAAAGAGCGTGCTTTGACGACTGTAACAGAAAAGCTAATTGGTGAAAATCTACAAAAATGAATGAATAAATAGACAATTTAAATTCAAAATAATTTCAAATCGTTTTTAGTTAATAATTATTTCAGCTATATATACTGTATGTATATATTTACGTGCAGGGCTGGAGTAGGCCCATTTTTCAGCCCAGGAGTTTTATGCCCAAACCCGGCCAACTTTGCTATGGAGGAGGAATTTAAATAAATGAAACAGCAGCTAGCTCTTACAATGCCTTTTTATTTTTTAAGTTAACAGAAAACACTTCACTTTCACAATGATTAATTTTAAATTTAAAAGAAAATGTATTTATTTTTGTACAGGAGCAGTCATTTGAAATCAATATTGCATTTTCCTTCCCAACAGAAAGGTGTTCTATTGTTAGGTTTACACTAAACACTTAAGTAGCTACATGCAATTAGTAGGCTACTTTCAGCAGCACTGGTTTTTGCAAGTTTATTAATTACTGCCTGCCTCCCTTCCTGACATTTCTCTGCATTTTATTGTACGATCAGCAGAAACAATTCTCTCGCACACACATTAAAGACATTACACAGACTGTACCGAGTCATGCTGTATAACAAATATTTCTGTACAGTTCATATTGGCGATATGCTGAGAAACAGAAACGGGCACTCGTCATGCAACCCAGTTTGTATTGAATCGCACAGCTCTCCAGTGCCTGTCTTTAACATACACCACAGTTTCTGCACAGCTTATAGAGACTTATGGATTTATGACTGTCCTTGTCTTGATTGTAGTCAAACCAACCCAGTACGAAACACTGGCACCAAAAAGGATTTAGCAAAGTTAAGAAGTAAGAAAGACTAAAGGAAAGGAATGAAAAATTATGGCCTCCCCACTAATATTAGCAGGGCACGTTTTGCGGAACAAAAACACATGCATCATCTATAATAGCTCTCATTCATCATCATGCTGATGGAGAAGGACCAGGCCCAGTGCACACGATGCTTCCTGCCAAAGACTTATTGCTGGGTGTCGGTGTGAGGGGCCACTTCATACATTAGACTCATCTCTGACCTCATCAAGTGCACGGAAAACAAATTGGCTAAAAAAAGTCCAGTGTTTGTCATCAGTGGACATGTGGCCCATATTCGCAACCAGGCCCTAATTTGAGGCATCGATGTTGCAGCCCGGCCAACGATGCAAAGACATGTGAGTGTGCTGCTGTGCTCTCACTGTGTCTCTGGACAAACGAATCAATAAGCAGCCCGCTCTGCTCCATTATTGGGCAGAAAAGTTAACCACGAGCAGCAATGGCGGGAGGACGGCAAACTGGCTGAGAGTCGTGAGGAGTGGGAGGAGGGATGGGTGGCTAGGAGGATTGGGGGGAAACAAAACAATATGAATTTCCAATTCATGTGAGAGCAAACACTCACCTCGGCTTCTTATTGATTGAGGACAAGTTGGGTGAAAACTATTAGTGTTGTAATGCTGAATTCAGCAGGTCTCTCTCCCTGTCTCTCTCCCTCACCCTCCCTCCCTCACTCTTTCTCTCTCTCTGTCTTTCCTTCTGCAGCAACACAACTTTTTTCCTGCCAAATATATCAGATATGGCCTTAAAGTCTGTCCTCCTGAGAGTCCACACGTTGGATGTGAACCACGATGAGTGATGTGATATTTTTCCTCTTCTGTCTCCAGTGTTTAGCTGTAACTTTGAAAAGAGCAAATCTTTCAGGTCCTCCGTTGTGTGTGTGTGTGTGTGTCTGTTTGGGGGGAGGGGGCAAGGGTTGGGGGGCAGGAGTGAGGGTGGGTTAATGTATTTTATTTTTATATGGCTCTACAGCACTTTGGTTCCAACAAACCAGTATGCTTCATAAAAATAAATCAACTTTTATCTTGTCATTTTTTCCATATTAATAATTCCACGCATCCTCCTGCTGTTCTTTTCAAGCATTAATTAAATCCCAATTAATCTTGATTTCAATTAGATTGAAACCTTTAGTCTTCCGACAACTTAAACTTCAAATAAAACTCAAAACAACAATCACAAGAATGTGAATTTAGTTGAAAACTCTTCCAGGAGGATGGTGAAAGTTTAGGGGAGAAAATGATGTAAAATGGCCCCAAAAGTCCAGTCTCCTGACCTGAGTCTCCAACCAAATTCAGTTCACCTACAAAGACGGGATGGCTTTTTAAACCTAAAAAAAAAAGTCAGAATCTGAAAATTTTGATCAGTTCTACATTTTCATGTCTGTGCTCAGTACTGAGGAACCAAACACTACATTCCATTCCAATTAGCTTCATGATTTGAATACAGCTGATGTTAGTGTGTTCCACGCTGCCATTGGTGTTGTCTCCCCTCTGCAGCAGAGGTCATTGTTAATCAGCCAACCCCAGCAGGGGAATATAATCTCTGCCTCCTACGCAGCTGCTGTTCTGGAGCTGATCAGCAAACACATATATTTTCCCAGGCTCTGTGTCCCTTATTACTGCCTCCTTTACTTTTCCTCACTGTTTTTTTTTTCAAACCTTTCTACCTATTCTCCTACTTCTTTCAAATCATTGGGAGCGTTACTATTTTTAAGAGTCTAACGAGGATGCTCGGGCATGCAGGACTGCGGGGAGTAGCAAATGAGACAAACCTGCACTGAAACTGAAGATGCAGACTACACACTACTTCTGTTCCACCTGCCCCCAGGAGCAGAGAGCCCCGGGGGCTGAAAGTGAGCACCTTACAAGATAGAAGAAAGAGTTGCCTCACTGGCAGCTGCTGATGCTGCTGATGCTGCTGTCCAAGCAATCGTACAAATTCTAACCTAATACGGAAGAAAAATGTTTTGTTTTGTACAGTTTGGGTAAGAAAAAAAATTGTGCATTTAAAAAAATGTAGAAAATTTCAGCAGTGACTAGTGCAGTGGTGGCCAGTAAAAATCCAGTTCCAGCCCGTGGTCATGGCTCCATCACATCCTGTCTCTCCTTGATGACTGCTGTCTACTCATGGTCCTATCTACTGTAGGTAGATAAGGTAAAGAAGAGATAAATATACCATTTTTCCATTAAAAAGACTTTTTCAACCAAGACTTTTCCTTCCTCACAGTAAGAAGTTGCTCTGAAATGGCCAGTATATTTCCAAGGCTGGTTGTAACCCTCATTTCCCCCTTCGTGGGGACAACACTGGACTTGTGTCCAAGCCTTTTTGTAAACCTGCAAAGACGGGGTTCAGCCAGAGGATGGAAAAAAAGTCAGGTGAAAGAAGATTATGGTTTAGTGTCATTATTGTCATTTTCAAACAATACTGCCTTATATGACTTCAGAGTGGTCACACAGGTCACGTGCTCATCAGTAATCAGCTGTCAGTCAGCTGATAAGAAGTCAAAAATCACCGTTTCTTCACATTTGCAGACATTTGAGTTGACGTTTCTCACCCTGAAGCTGCTAAAACTACTAAAACATGTATTTAATTGAAAAATGAATTTATGATAGTTGCACTCACAAAAGAATCCCAGGGGAGTTCGAAAATTTCACTATCAGGAGAATTTCAAGGGCACTTTTAGAGTCAGATTCCTTTGACTGCCTGAAACATCTGACGCAGGTGACAGCAGTGGATTTTAACCTGCATTCAATGACATTTCCATTAGCTTTTAGTAGACTGCTAACACACCATATTGGTTTTTTTTTATTTGACCTCAAATCTTCATTACTTTCTCCCTTTCTCGCAAAACCAGAGAAACCCTGCTCAGCATCGATGTATAATATCTAATTATTCATCTCATTCTCCAGGAGACATAAAATCATCAGCAGGACTTTCACCACTTCCCATCTTCTTTAATCTGTACAGATGTGGAAGTGTTGAAATGAGACGATGCAGTTTTCATTTCCACACAAGGATTCATAATTTAATTCCTGGACAATTTCAAGCACAGAGAATATTTTTTATAGTTTTTGTAATTTTTTTCCTGGTGTAAAATTGCTTTCATAGCAACGACAGAATATGAAAATACTATGGAAATCATCACTGTGCTGAACTCGCAAGCGTCTCTTCCGTGCACGGCGAGCACTTTGGTATCTGACGAGTCATGTGAAATCCAATATCTTGCTATTTACACAGAGGTCACACAGAGTCCATTTGATATAATCTACTGTGTCTTCTGTGTCATATAAATAACTAATGCTCAGAGGAGACGGGGCCCGAAAAAAAACCCTCCCTTCTGTCGGTCAGACATGGAGACCCTTTCAAAGCCATTTAGCCACGCTTTCAATAATTCTCAGTCAGCAAATAAGACGAACGAGGCTGGATCTGTCCAGGATGAATTATTCAGGGACTTAATGAAAGTGCACAGGGCTAAATTTGTTGTAAATGGTGGCTGTGTGAAAGAGTGGGTGATTTGGAGGCAGCAGAATAGCTGTAAGGTCACAGAATATCATTATGAATAGATGTAAAGCTGCAGCGAAACGACTGCTCCCCAAAGGTTAATGCCACAGACAGTTGACATGACACCACATCCATTTAGTCTGAGCCGGGAGAGCTTGTACTTTAAGGTGTCCTCTTCCTGTGCTACATCATCACCGTGACAACCACAAACGATGACTAATTACAGCCCAGACAGACATTAGAGCCCAGAGAGAAAAGATGGAAAATTCAAAATGGCTTTTTTTTATATATAGATCACTGGTCCCCAATTTTGTTTCATCTGCGGACCGGCAGTGCTGCGACAATAAAAAAAAATCCTTTATACTTTATTATGTTAATATTGAAGTCTGAAAGATGTATTTTTTAGAGAAGTTGTTAGAAGAAAATGAAATCTAAATTAAGCAAATGAATAATTCTTTCTCTGTGGCCTGGTACCGATGGACCCACAGACAAGGGGTTGG